AGAGTAACATAGTGAGCACAAAAGTACCCCCAGGCGGGAAGAAGCAGAATCCACAAACACCGCATCCAATGAAGATTTCCGGAAGCCTGGACGACCGCTAATCATTGACCCACCCAAAGCAAGGGTGTCCGGGTATCCTGTGACAGGAAACTTTGAATGAAGTCGCAAATATGATTTGGGCGAGCTTCCCTCAGAACTTTAGGTCGTGGGTCGTGGATGGTGTCCTGCTCAGAAACGCTGGTGTTCTGTTAAAGCACCTGGTGTTCGAGTTGCTTGTCGGGCTTTCACGAACCACATCCCTTCTGGGCAAAGCCCTAAGCTTTCAGCTTTTGGGGAAAAAAAAGCATTGATCCGGCTTCAATCCCATCTCATCACAGTTTCCTGCGAAATCAAGCAGCAGAGCTTCCACAGAAGCCGCTTGACATGCGAACCCATAGCGGGGGTGGTCCCCTGGCTGTCATGAGAATTGGGAAGATTTGTGATTCCACTGGTATGTTGGCAAAAAGATGAACAGGACCAAACAAGCAAACAAAATAGAATATGCCAAGAACAAAAGAGTCATCGTGTCGGTTGTCTGAAAGGATTAGATGGCTAGCAACCCCCAAGCCCTGCCCAAGCCCCGGCTTTTGCCTTGCCTCACTTCGCCTGAAGCAGCGCCAGCGACACACGTTGCTGTACCCGGCCACTCAAAGGGATCGTCCAAAAACTGGAGTATGGAACCCAACAAAAACGGGTGTCGGGAAAACAAAAATAGGGTTCCTTAGAAACGCTGGGTCCATGAAAGTGGCATGCTCAACATGAGGACCTCCCCCCCCCCGCCAAGAAAACAAGAAACAGAGCTAACCCCCTCAAAATGTTCACTTTAAGACACCTTGCAAAACCAGGTAAGAAATCACGACAACCTCAAGGAACATCTGTTATCTGTGTATAATTGGGGATTACCACTATACTAACATCCTATTGTGAACTATGCCAAATTTGAAGTCTCCTATTACTGACACATGCACAAACATAGAAACACACGCACCCACACACACACACACACGCACACGCACACGCACACGCACACGCACACGCACACGCACACGCACACGCACACACACACACACTCACACACACACACACAGGCACATACGGGCACATACGGGTACACACAGGCACACACACACACAAACCACAAAGCACGAACATGCACAACTGCAAACAAACAAAACAAACAAACAAACAAACAAACAAACGAACGAACGAACAAACAAATGAACAAACGAAATAAACGAACAAACGAACACATGCGCACACACAAACACACAGAGACACAGATACAGACACAGACACAGACACAAACACACAGACACAGACGCAGATCTAGACCCAGACGCAGACACACATTCAGACACACAGACACACGGACACACAGACACAGACACACCCAGGCGCGCGAGAGCGCGCACAGAGAAGAACACACACACCCGTCCCCAAAGCTGACACACTGATCGCTCACGAGATCCTTGACAAGAACCTTCTCACGCCAATGGCGCGTTGTCACGCACCAGCTGCACTCGTTCACACGCCGCCTCCCGAGGTGTATGAGAAACTAGCCACGAAAGCTAATAAGCAAAACATGGAATTTCAACCACGACACTTCAAGCTGAAGCATGTCAGGGAAAGGAGACAGAATTGTCTTTCGGCTCACTTGCCTCAATGGACATACAAGGCTCAGCTGTTGCCACGATTCAACAACGTTACTGGCCAAGAAACAAACTGTTTGTTTGCCACCAAGATGCTCGCCCAGTTTTCGCGATTAGGCATCCCTTCAGGGAGGAATCTCCAGCCAGAGATCTAGAAAGTCACTCGGTTAGTCCTCTCCAAATTGTATCCCCCTGCCTCAAGGCAAGGCGGTTCCCAACCCACCGCCCCCACCCCCAACCTCCAGGACGTAGCCGGTGGCCACAGTAGTCTCCTCCAGGCGCATCATCAGCAGGCTGAGGCCTCAAGGCGAGCTACGAACAGGGAAGGACGCGAGGGGCGGAGGTGGGGCTGGAGAAAGGGACGAACAAGGAACATACCTCAGCTTTTCCCTCCAGCCAACATGATATGTTTGATTCTGGTAGTGAAAGGCGCGGGTCCTCCATTTTGAGACCCTTGAGAATGCCAAGGAATTCTTTAATCCGTTTCTCCGACATCAGCAGAATGTGGAAAAACACTGTGTGAGTGTGTGGGTGTGTGTGTATATGAGTTTGCGCGTTTGCTTGCTCCTGTGCTTGTGTGCTTGTGTGTGTGTGTGTGGTTGTTTCGGAGTTTGAGGGCCGCCTTGTCAACCAAGAGGCGAACTTATCATTCTTCATTAAGACTTATTGCTTAACCAACACCAGGGTCCCAACAATACCTAGGATCCCCAACAATATGTAAAGAAGCCACAAGGAAACCAAAAGATTCATGGGTCGCCTTTGAGAACACCCATCGGATCCCCCGGGCGCCCCAACGGTTGCCCTTGCCGTCGGAGGACTCGCTCAGTGGAACCTGCACGAGATGACGGAGGAACCTGGAGGTAGCCTATGACCATAGAAACGTGCACTAGGTCTAGGATGTATGCATGTTCCGGGATTGTCGCTTCCCGTGTGGATTGCCAGTACGGGAATTAGCCTTCCTGACAAAAAAAGTCCAGGAACTTGAGTGAGGATAGGGCTTGTGCTGGGTTGTGGCTCCTGGGCTGATCCTGACTTCATTGGATCCCAGTACACAACCCAAGAACTTCATTGGGACAATGGTTCAAAACCTGATATTACACTGGTCTGACCAAAACCATGCGAAGAATCCAGACAGCAACCGCGGCAATTTACGGCTGGGACTCTCCCTTACTAATCTTCACCTACCCAATTTGATTGCGGCTCAATTGGGAAGGTGCACTATCAACTTCCGCGGTTCAATCGTGAGCCGGTCAAAGCAAGTGCATGCGCACTAAATGAAAGCCCAAACTGTTGGCTCAATTGGCAAAACTGGACATGCAAAGATTAAAAGCTTGGCTTGCGGGTAGGTGAAGCCCCAAAACTTGATCTTATTGTAATGGCACCCCGAGGACAAGGTCCCCGCGAACTTTACGCTTAGGTGTGTCAATGTTCCAATCTGGGGCTCGATAAATTTCAGCCTGGTAGGTGGAATGTGATCACTGGGCACTTGCAAGTTGGTAGAGGTGTGATTGTTTGCTTTTTTTCCTGCCTAGATCTGGCATGGGTGGGAAGTGCAAGGGCAGCATCCCCAGCATCAGCAGCATGATTTGGAGCAGCTCGACCAAATGAGCCCCAAACCGGTTCTGTGACAGATCAACCAACCAACCAACCAACCAACCAACAAACCAACCAACCAACCAACCAACCGACCGACCGACCGACCAACCAACCAACTAACCAACCAAAGCGCGCACCCATCCTGCAGGTCTTTGTTACACCTCGCAAGATGAGCGTTGAGTCTGGGGTGAATGATACTATTTCACCACGTGAGGCCACTTTGCCCCGTTTGGTGATTAATATGGTCTTCTCAAGTCTCTAGACCAACCGGAAGCAGGGCTTGCTTGTTGGATCATGTTGGAGTTCTCTCTTGTTCTCAGTTTGTTGTACTCGAGACCCGGAAGATTTCTTCTCGAGACCTGATTCAACCAATGATAGTTCACCTTGCTAAACTGAAATGCGCTGCCTTTTGGCATCGATCAAAGGGAACCAAACGAAAACTCACCCGATCGAAGGATCCCCACTTTGGCGAGAGGAGAAGCACCCACTTCGGCACCTTCGTCAAGAGCGGCATCGCTCCGTTCACCCGAAACGTCCTCTTTGGCTTTCAGAATCCATCAGAGCAAAAGATGACACATAGTTTCCAACACTAGGCGTGCAACGTTAGCAGTCCCTTCCCCCCCCCCCCCAAAGTTTCATACCTCCCTGCCTCTCCCCTCCCAAAAAAGACAAAAACCTCTTCAGGGCGTCCTTTTTGCAAACAGGATTCGCTCTCCGCCCAACTCTTCGAGCGCAGCCCCCGCAACCACCGCCTCCCTGGAGAGGTGCAAGGTCACCGTGAGGCGCTGCCCGGCCTGACTTTTGGCTCCCGACGGACCGCCTTCCGACGCCAGGCGCAAATTGCTTCATGGCACGTCTGGGAAGGGAAAAAAGAAACGGCGCATTCAGAAGGGTTTAAACAAAAACACCCGTTTTAGGCAGGGGTTGAGAGTATACACCCAAACAAGTGGATGTGCGGAGTGGGGGGTCCTTCTAGTTTCCTTGCCGGAGACCACTTGGGTGTGGCTCAAAATTGGAGGTACAGTGCCCCTTTTCGTAGAAATGGACATAACATCTGCGGTTGTCTGGATGCTTCACGTTGAGCTGCAATTGGGGTGTGTGAGCCAAAACCAACCTGTCAGCCACCTTTGCACAGTTGAGGCCTGCCAATTTAGCAATGGGCAGGTGGCTGGTAAAATAGGATCACCCTGCAGAATGACCCAAAAGCCCTGATATGTAGAGGAAACTCCTTTTAGGACCTTTCTGGGGGTTCCACGTTAATTTGCAGTGCGGCGCAATCCCCTCAACCACTCGGCTGTCCAAATCAATTGTAACCTCGAGGACACGGCAACGGCAGCCGCTACGAAAGCCACTCTTGGCTGTCGAAACCACCAGTTATACCCTTTTGGGATGCAATCAGAAAGGCAACAGCACTGAAACCAATCCTTTGGATGGGAGTGCACCTCAGCTTTTGCCCCCCAATAATGTATTTTTGGTCCTGGCAACCATAGTGGGTGAATCTTAAAGTACAACCTCAATTTGGGCTCATCTCAAACTAGGGAAACCCCCCTGCCTTAGAAAAAACCAAAGGGATAGCCTCAAAATAAGGCATGCCCATTTTGAAACAACTCTAGGATTCATAAATTCGGGAGAAACGACAAAAAGCAACCGGCCGACTGAAAACGAACTTCGGAGGGATCAGGTCAACATGCCGCCAGCAACTTCCGCCTTCACCATCTTCGGCTTCTCCGTCGTCACCCCCGTGGCCCAGTCGAAGGCATCCTAAAGCGAAACGGTCGGGGGTCCAGGCAAAGAACGGATTTGTCCTTACATGGGGGAACCCTAATGAGTGGTGTCCCTTTGTTTTCATCGCCGAAAAGGGTATCTTCAACAAAATAGACACCCGAAACGGGTTTGGAAAAAGGCAGAGGAGTGATTCTCGGAATTTATTGAGAATCATAAACTCTTTTCACAAGAGTTTGAAGGAACCAAACACCCGGGCCGCAATGCAACTCACCCCCCCATTTGTTTGCTTAACATGCGCTCTTGAGAAGCAGGGACGTTGCACGGCAGCTTCCGCGCATTTGTTCAACTTCGCCTTTTACATCAGCCAACAACCAAAAGTTGGCAGGAACTTTACTGCTCAGGGAAACTCACTGGGCAATTGAGAAGAATACTGGGTGCTAAAAAGCCAACTCTTCAGTTCATTTCCCATTTCCTCCTAAAGGGAACGAGGCTGGATTCCTCGGTTTTCCATGCAAGTGCTTTTTGCAATGGATCCGTTGGAACTTGCGATTCGAGTGATTCTTCTCCTCCAGCGCCGCTGCCGCAATATCACCCGCCAAACAAATCACACCGCATCCAATCATCTACTTCTATGGCAGGGCGCTTTGTGGACCCACCAAAATGGGCTTCCCTTTCGAAACAACCCAAAACAAAAAGAACCCCAACAAGGACACCCATTTAGCAGTCATGACTCGTTCCCTTTAAAGCAACCTGAGCAAAATGAACACGTCGCCTTCAAGCAACTGAAAGTCCTTGCCTGCATTGCTGGCTTGGGGATCTTAACTTGAAATGTAAATTGAAGACTGACCGCCACTCAAACCAGAATTGAGCTGCCCCAATTTTTCGTCTCTGGTTGAGACGCAGCGTCTTGTCAGAACGGGATCCAGGTTTGATGTTTGCACTCCGGTGACCACAAAAGGGTCCCCAAAAAGATGCCGTGGTTTAAGAACGCTATGTGTAAAAACAAGGGGTTTTGGAGAGGGTCTGGAATCGTCAACAAATCTCCCCAAGTGCAAAAAAACATGTGGGCCATTGAATGCACCCGCCAATGGGTTGGGGACGTAAATAAATATTTCTTCTGGAAAGCCAAAGACGCCCATCCAGGAAAGTTCCCAAGGAACCTCAGAAGAAAGGGGCTCTTGCAAGGGCTGCTGGGAACCTTTTGGGTGGGTGGGGCTCTAATATCTCTCCTTGTTTGAGCCGTGCCCAAAACCCATTGAGTTTGGGGTTCCACCAACACAGTTGTGGTTGATATGGGTCTTGCACGAAGTGGCCAGGGTTTTGGTCTGGAGGGCCTCAAAATGGTGGACCCAATTTGGATAGGATTTTGAAGGATGAGCAAAGGAAACCAACCAACCTTTTTAAGGTTTCAAAGTGGCGCGGGGGACTCTCTTTTCGGACAACTGAGGCTCGATGATCTTCTCCACCTCCACCTCCACTGTCGCAGCATGCACCTTGGACTGGCTGCGCAAATCGCACTCATGGACCTTTGACATGGGTAGGTGTCAAAATTGGGAGCGATTCGACAGGCACAATCCCCACAGAGGGTAGCGCGCACAGAAACGAAAAGTCCTCAGCCACCGATCCCTGCAGAGGGTTGATCCGCGGACCGCAAAAAACCCTTGGGAGCAGGGTTTTCCCAAAGGGGACCACTACAACTGGTATTCCTTCTGATTTCGCTTCAAATTGACTGCACACGTTGTTCCAGACACCAGACGTCCTCAAAAGACACATTCAAAAACGACCTGCTTTACTAGGATTCGGATCCTCATTTTTCCACCAGCCCAACTGTATCCTTTAAGAAACCAACTTCTCTTCTGGTTGGCATTTGAGGAGGAACCAGAAGGAAACAGCCCCAGTTCCACAAATTCGAAAGACATGTTCTACAAATTCACCCCTATGTACCCAATCACATTTGACTGATTTCTAGGACAAAAAAACACCGCGTTTTGCTCCGAGGGGCATGGAGCACCGCCCGGAAGCCAGCGGTCAAGGGCCTGGGCAGCTCCAAGATCTCCAGCGAGGCCTTAAGGCGCTGGCTCACCTGGCGCACGAAACGAGGCGACAGTCAGACCGGCCAGGACCGGGCGGCTCCATGGGTTGTATGGGTCATCTTCAGAGTAGGTTGAGTAGGTTGCGGAGTCATGAGGCGAGAGTTTGCACGCGAGACTTTTTGCGGAGCTTCCTAAGGCAATTCGGTTTCATAGTGCCCAACCCCCGTTCCAAGTATTCTCCCCCTGGTCGCTTCATCGCCAGCCTGCACGGGTCGGTCCACGCTGGAGAGCACGGCACCACACCACGAGGCCACCGACGCGCCTGATGAGGAAAACGGATTTGCCAACTTTTGGGGAGCGCAGAAATGCCTGAAAATGGGTTTGATTTCTTGACCGGCAAGGTAGACTCAAACCCAGAAGCGGTTCCTTCCAACAAAAAGACTGGGTTTAGGTCTACCTTGACATATAGAATATAGAAATATAGAAAATAAAGCCTAGGCTGAAGTCTGCCTTGGAAGAAATCATTCATCTTTTGAAACCCTGGTTGGCTTCCCTTTGGATTCCCCTTATAAACGTCAAAGGGATACCCTGGAAGGACACAACCAAATTGATGAGCTTTGCGGGACCCTTCGTATCACAGGCAGATATTGTTTGATTCATGCGAAATTGGCCTTCTCTGTCTGAATTCCAAAACTGCACCGGCATAAGTCAAGGATCGATAAAGCGACCTTCATCATCGGAAAGCTGTGCACGCTCACCATGATCGATCTAGAGACATGCTCAAACAGTCTCGGTGAGACCTCCCCTCCAACAAACATCCTCATAAATCTGCCCTTTGAAAGGAGGCCATCGTCTGGTTGCTTCAACCGATTTTGCCCGATGGCACCAACGATCTGAAGACGCGCAGCACTTCTTCCATCTGGCGAGTGTTTAGAGCCATGAATGCTTTTGGTTGAAACTCCACGGAAAGCCGACAGACAGACAGACAGACAGACAGACAGACAGACAGACAGACAGACAGACAGACAGACAGACAGACAGACAGACAGACAGACAGACAGACAGACAGACAGAAACAAACAAACAAACAAACAAACAAACAAGCAAGCGCAAGCGCAAGCGCAAGCGCAAGCACAAGCACAAGCACAAGCACAAGCACAAGCACAAAGCACAAACACAAAGCACAAGCACAAAGCACAAGCACAAGCGCAAGCACAAAGCACAAGCACAAGCACAAGCACAAGCCCAAGCACAAGCACAAGCACAAGCACAAGCCCAAGCCCAAGCCCAAGCACAAGCACAAGCACAAGCACAAGCACAAGCCCAAGCAAGCAAGCAAGCAAGCAAGCAAGCAAGCAAGGAAGCAGGCAGGCAGGCAGGCAGGCAGGCAGGCAGGCAGGCAGGCAGGCAGGCAAGCAAGCAAGCAAGCAAGCAAGCAAGCAAGCAAGCAAGCAAGCAAGCAAGCAAGCAAGCAAGCAAGCAAGCAAGCAAGCAAGCAAGCAAGCAAGCAAGCAAGCAAGCAAGCAAGCAAGCAAGCAAGCAAGCAAGCAAGCAAGCAAGCAAGAAGCAAGCAAGCAAGCAAGCAAGCAAGCAAGCAAGCAAGCAAGCAAGCAAGCAAGCAAGCAAGCAAGCAGGCAGGCAGGCAGGCAAGCAAGCAAGCAAGCAAAGAAAGCAGCAAACACAAACACAAAACAAAACCAACACAAACACAAACCAAACAAACCAACAACAAATAAACAAACAAACAAACAAACAAGCAAGCAAACAAACAAACAAACAAGCAAGCAAACAAACAAACAAACAAACAAACAAACAAACAAACACGCAAACAAGGGAAGGAAGGAAGGAAGGAAGGAAGGAAGGAAGGAAGGAAGGAAGGAAGGAAGGAAGGAAGGAAGGAAGGAAGGAAGGAAGGAAGGAAGGAAGGAAGGAAGGAAGGAAGGAAGGAAGGAAGGAAGACAAACCAACAACAAGACAAGCCAACACAAAGCAAAAGCAGAGAGGCAAACAATATAACAAACTTGTACAGTGAGTCTTGGATGGGGCTGAGCCAGGTAAGCGCCCCCCTCGGCGCCTCTCCATGCCACCCCCAACTGGCCTCCCTGGTTGGGCCACTCCGGCAGGGCGCCAGAGAGCTGGATGTCCACGCACTGCCCAGATTTCGCCTGGCAAGTGGGGAAATCACAGCAGGAGAATGAAATGGCACAAAACGCCATGTAGACTTTGGGGGACCTGTTCTCACGGCCCCAAAAGGTGATCTTAAGAAAAATTCAAAGTAGGGAGCCCTGGGAGCCCTGGGAGCCCGCCCCGGCACCCAGTCTCCTCCTCCAGCGGCAGCGCGTTGCGCAAGGCCCCGGTGTGCAAAGCCTCCACGGCGCAGCCGGCGCCGCCGGGGGCCAAGACCAGGCGCTGGCCCTTCTGCAGCACACCTGGCGCCCCCATTGGCAGGGGCCCCCCGTGGGGATTCGCTTTTGGTCTCCCCAGAAAATAAGCAGAGGGACCTGTAAATGGTGGATTTGGCTTCCGTTCAAATCAGTAGAGTCCTTCCTGGGGTGGTCTAACTGACCACACTGCAAAAAGTGAAACGTTTGCCCCCCATCACCACTGTGATGTTGCCGGAGGGCTAACCAACCTCAAACAACGAACAGGAGGATTGAAACTAGGCTAAAGCTTTGTTGGTCAGTGAGAAAAACCTTCATTGTCAAGCAAACCTTTGAAGGCTAAAGGTCACACCGAAGTTCATGTTTAACATGGGGCGTTTCGGGCAATTGTCTGAAACTGAAACCAAGGATCCCTGAAGACAGAGAACTGCCCAAAAATGGGTGCCTATGACACAACTGAGCCAAGGAAACATGCCAAGTATCCGGTCAATGCCATACAGCCACACACACAGATACAGTATACACTCTGGCAATCCCTGCCAGAAGAAAATGACTGTATACTCAGAACCTCTCAATTCTCCCGTGTCAGAGAAACAGCTCACACATGCTCACACTCCCCAAATGCTGCCCGGGAGCTCTCTCACTCTGAGTCACCCTCTCTCTCTCACCTCCCCAAAAATGCCAACGGATGGACCAGCCTTGAGTCCAATGGTCCAAACTCGGACAGTCGCACCCTGAGATGATCCCGATCCGATGGGGTTGATGACGCTTTCTGGGTCCGAAGGCTGGCCCGTTTGAATCAAAGCATTTGTTTGTCCATCACACATGTCATTGAACCCAAACATACCAAAACGCCTGCCGTTGGGATGAGTGCAGAACTATGAATACTAGGATATACCACCTACCAAACCCAAAATTGCCAAAACGACTACCATTGCCCATAAGGCAAGAATGCTGCACCTCTGTGTCGTTTGTGATAGTTGCGGATAGCAAGAGGCCACATAGCCCCTATACGGAGGGTGTTGGATTCACCGCCATCTGGGGGCACATTTCAAGGGGGCATGTCCTTGGTGCCAAACAAGGGACCAGGAAAATGAGTAAAACCTATCCATCCCTTCTCGAAAGTTGAGCAATATGGATCACTCAGCTCCCATCCCACAAACTGGAGCCCTGCCCAGCCAACCCAGCCCCCAACCCGGTCAGCCCTTCGGCCCTCGCCTTGCTCCACGCGCCCACGCACGCGGCCGACACCTTTGGTGCTGGCCTGGCTCTCGAAGAGCAAGACCTGGAGGTCCCCGGGCCTGCGAGCTGCTGGGAATCCGGGAAGGGAAGCACCGGAAGCACCGGAAGCACCGGAGCAGCGGAGGTTGCCTACATTCACCGAATGGACATGCCTTTCTTGTGAGCGGCCATGAATGGGTGCATGGGCCATGCACACTGCATACCCCAAAATTCATCCTGGATGACTGACTTGTAGGTGGGCAGTTGTTTTGGGGATTGTAAGTGTATGGCGGGTTCGGAGATTCACCAGACCCCGAATATGATCACCTGAGGGGTAAACCCCAAATGAGAACCAAATAAGGGATACCTGCTGTGTGAGTAAGCCCTACCAGTAAATATCGGAGTGGGTGAAAATAGTGGCGAAAGGTCAAAAAGGCCGCCAAATGCACGGGCCCAAACCTGCCAGACCAGAGGTCCCTTGGGCGACCCATGCGGAGAGTTGCTGGGGAGGGGTGGCGCCCACCACATACCATCTGCCATGTGCCAAACAGCCATTTGCCAGGGCAGATTGGCTTGATACAAAGGGCTAAGTATCTACAGAGAGCCTCAGAGTACATACATTCTTGTCCCATCATGATATTTAAATGTTGGTTGAGTACTCAGGACAGCCACATTCCAACTTGAACTGCCTGTCTAGTACACACGCGGCCAACAAGGGAAACCCAACCGAAGCAAATGGGTCCACATCAGCAGGCGGCTGGCTTGACAGAGAGGCACCGAGAAAGGGTCTCTCGAATTCCTTCTGGGTAGAGCAAGGGAAGTGCGGGTCCCCATCCTAGAAAACACCAACAGCAAGACCCTGGAAGTGGTTGGAAGCCTTTTAAGCAAGTGTGGTTCTCCTGCCATGGGTATTGTCACGATGTGAGTGGCTTCCTTCTGACAGGTTTGACAACCATCCCATTCGCCCAAGGTGAAGGGTAGGAACGCGGCAAATTGAGCGCTCCTCCCGCCAAATAAAAACTAGCTCATGTAGGTCTCCTTCGCAAACCAGCAAGCTTGTTGCTTTGAAATACCATGCTTTGCCAACTCACTGAAGGAGCAAACAACAAAAACTCCAGCGAGATTCTTTCGCCTAGGCAACCCAAGACTCCAGGGTCCACACTTGGGTATGGGTCAAAATGAAACCAACAGGAAACGCAGGTTTTCCATGTTTTGATTTGCCAGGGCAAGCCATTTTGGGGTTAACCATTTTTTTGACCACCGCCACTTCTTTCGCTTTGCCCATCCGCAACTCACGGCACGGCCCCGGAGCGCCTGGGCACCGCCTCCTTGGCGGCCTCCTCCAAACGCCGCAAGAGGCCGCCGGGAGATCCGTGCCAGGGCGCCTGAGCATTCCCCCAAATGGGTGTGTATGTGTGTATATATATATATATATATATACATACATATATATATATATATATATACATGTGGTACCCCCCCAAGGGACCCTGGTCTTATATATATATATATACCAACATTTGATCCGGGTGGAGGGTAACTGTGGATAAACATATTGCATACAAGGAGAGTTTGGGATTCAATTGGAAATTCACATGCTCATAAGTTAGTTTGGAAAAAGTGTCACTTCGTCAAAAGTCATGGCTTTTAACAGTCCTGAAGTCTTGAGGGAAAATGGGGAGCCTTTCTGTGATACCTTTTCTGGTTTTCCCTCCCTTGGTGGCCAACCCCCCCCCCCCCCCCCTTCGCAAAAGCGTTATATAACTGTTTGCAGGTCAAGTACTCCAACCAAATAGCATGCTAGATGCGCAAGAAACTGCCCCAGATGGAATGGATGCAACCCTCTGAACAATGTCGACCCCGGATTCATAAACCTCTCCTTATTTCTCTGGGGGTGCTTTCCTCCAACAGTGATGACTCCCCACTAAACCCAGAAGCACCCCCTATGAATCAGCAGGGGGTGATGAATATGGGGTCAGCATTATTCAACCAAACAGCATGGCTGCTGAATGGGCAAGAAACTGCGCCAGTTGGGACGGATGAAAGCCTCTGAATAATGTTGTTGACCCCGGTTGAATAAACCCCTGATTTACAAAAACAAAAAAAGTGTCTCTGGGTTCAGTGGGGAATCATCACTTTTGAAAACCTGTGAATACCTATGAATACTGGAATCAAACCTCAACCCCCGGCAGCTTCCCACCAAACCCGATAAGGGCGGGCCTTCTTGGCGTCCAGCTGGTTCCCCAGGCCGTCCACCGGCTCAAAGATGGCCGCCGAGGAGCTGAAGCCTCCACAACCAACCGGAACCCGGAAAACCGTTGGGATCCCGTAAAGCGATGGGCGTTGGAACCCAAGAAGGCCTGAGGCTGGGGCATCAGGTTGTTTGACCTCAGGCTTGACTTCTGTTTTTTGTTGACTTCTGTTTTTTTTCTTTCTTTGAAACCATCAGAGGCTGTTCCACCAAAAAACTGCGTCACTTTTGGTGAATTCAATGTGGCTGTTTCTTGGTTTCGGGTCCAGGCTCAACCAACGCGCAAATGGCTGTTTCCACTGGGGGGCGACTCATTGCATGTTCTGGAGAGGGCAGCTGTTCAACGCATGCGTCACACATGTATAAATATTTACCAATGGAAAGAAGGTGTGTCCTGGTCCAAAGACCCGCGATAGATCCCAGTCTCATCGGACAGCTCAAACATACTGGATGACCAGATTTCGGCATGTATCTTTAATGTCGAGACAGTTCACTTTGTGCAAGAATATGTCCCAAAAGAAAAGTTGATCAAGATTCCAACCGCCAACCCCACACCTTTAGCCTGGATCAATCAACCCCCGATTCAAAGGTGGTGGCCCATTTTAGAGGAAATCCTTCACTGTGAGGAAATTCCCCCCTATTGTGTAATTTGCAAGGTTGATTAAAGGGGGCGCGCGCGGGGTTGAAAGTAAGGTTGAAAGAAGAAGAAGAAAAAGAAAAAGGGGACGAAAAGCAAGCAAAAGCAACTGAAAGTCGAACCAAAGGGAAACAACAAGGAAACCAAAGGGAAAGCGAAAGGGCCCTTAAGCCTGCGCTTGTCAGCACAGGGCTCAGCTTGGCCACCACCTCATCGAAGCGGTCCTGGGAAGGGTGAAGATCCAACCCAAGAGATCTCCAAGTCAACTAGAGCGAGAACATCCCTTTGGTGCAGGCGATCGGACCCCCCCCCCGGCCATTTATGCCCCTCCAAGCATCTACTACTTCGCTTTTGGGGGACAGAGGCTACACCTGAACCATGTGAGGAGCTGACGACCGAAAGGTAATGGTTGATAGTGGCAAAACTAGCCAACCTTGCAAAAAGCCAAAATAATTCAACTTTAGAACAACAAGTACTCAGGTTTCTTGCTGGTACCTAGCAGGAAATGAGCCTTGTGCCTTCCTGCAAGAGAATCCCTGAGTTCCTTCCCATAACCCTGAGTAACCTCTTAGTGATGCCCTAGTAAGAACCCGCAAGCGACACTTCGCCTCTCCTGTGACCACTGGGCATCCTCCATCTTCGTGATGGCCACCACCAGCCTGCCGAGGCCCTTGAGGTCATTTGTTTGTAGGGCCCAAAGAACCGAGTCCTATTCGCCCAGATATGTGGATTTGCCTCTAAATGGAAGCCCCAGAATGGGTGTTGTCTCTTCTGTCTTTGAACAGCAAAGCACTCAACAAAGACACGCCGTTTTCAGCCTTCGTAACTATGTTGGTAGAAAGGTTCTGCCCATTTGCTCGCCAGTGATCCCAGGCTGTTACAGTCCTTGCGGTTCCCCTACACAAACCGGGCAGAACAGGATTGCTGATGTTGACACAGATGCATTAACGCCACAAAATAATACCCGGGTAAGTGGCCAGTCCCGGCGCTTCGTCACGATGGTTTTGGGTAGACCTGGTGAATACCGGGTTTTGATGATGACTCATTGCGTGACCAGCATCTCCGAGAATCAACACAAACAACACATGCAAAACCACGGACATATTATTTGAGAAACAAGGATGATATCAAGGGCTGAAGGATTACTAAAATGAGTTTCTCACTTTCGGACCCTCCCCCCCACCACTCCCCAAGCGCTCTTTCTGGAAGCCCGGACCCCTTCCTGTGAAGTCTAACTAGCACTTCCTAAGCACTTGCTCCCCTGACCAACAGACCTGGAGGGACACTCTTGTGCTTGCTGATCCCAATCCAAACAAAAAGAAGAAGACAAACACTGAGGCAGACCCCTCCCCCGGAACCGGACGCTTCAAACCCCCAGGGACCGGTCCCCCCCAAAACTCCCGCGCCTGGAGGCGCCCAGGCCCTTGGCCACCCGCAGCTGCTCCGCCAGGGCCGAGCTGCCGCTCGCCTCGCGGAGAGCTTACGTTTTAACCACAGGCTACCTGGGAACAAACGCCCTTTCTCACCCCAGAGAACCTTGACGAAGAAGGGAAAACCAGGTTCCAAGGTTGCCGTGCGTTTGAGTTTGGTGTTGCAAGGAGACCCACCATTTCATGGGTCCTGGAGACCAAAGACCCAACCACCGTTCAAGAAGTTGAGGATGGACTTTAAAGGGAACCCACATGACGCGGATCAACATAGGGAGACCTCAAACATGGTGGTGTCCCTCTAAACCAAAGTATAAAGGGTACCAACTCCACAACGCGCACGCGCCGGGCCGGAAAGCTTCCCTCAGCTGCTTAAGTACCACCTCCAAATGGGTGCCTGGTGTTTCAGGGTACCCTGTTCACCGTTGGTTAAAGGGAAACCCTTACAAAAATCAATGCAACATTCGGACCACCTAAGTGGCCACGCGCCATTGCATCCACCAGTTTCTGGCCCCTGTCACCACCACCCCTTTTCCCCAACAGGTAACCTTCAAATGGGGGACCCAGTTGCTTCATGATTGATTCATACAGTGGATGGACAAAATCCGTTTCGCACCAGTTGGCTTGGACTAGAACCAAACCACCAACTGGTGCCTGGTGTGGAGTTTGCCCGGTGTCCTAGTTAGGGGTTGCCTTTCTGAAGGCATCTTGCTACCCCACGAAGAAACACCAAAGCAAAACCCACTACTTTTGTCATTTCTCCCTTGAAGCGTTGCGGGGATACCCCACCTACAAGCCGCCAAAAGGCATGGGTTTTGGCAAGGGATCTTCACCCTCCTAACAACCCCTCACCACTGATTGGATTAGTATATACGTCAAACCCCAGTCTTGTCTTTGCAGGGGGGTTAAGCAGGCTACAACCCCTCACCACTGATTGGGTTATGTACATAAGAGCGCCAGCTGGGCTTCCTCTCAACCCATGGCCTCCCCTCTACAACCCCACTGATTTAGTATATACGTATGTGTGATTCGGGCACGAGCCTGTGCCCAGGCAATGGGTAAGTTGGGGTAAACAAGCCACAAAAGAAAGGTTCCCCAAAAGCAAACCAATCCCCGGTCCCAAAGATCAGGGTTTCCCACACACCAGAGAACAACAACCAAAAGGGAAAAACCAAAACAAGTAAACAAGTACCCGCAACCTTGATCGACGATGAACCGCACGGGCGGACCCCACCAATCTGCCCCGGGCCGATGTCTCTTTCTCCACCGACACGAAGGTGATCGACGCGGGGACCCGGCGACGCTCATCCGAGGCGCGACGGACCCGCAAACTTGAGCCAAACATCACAGGTCAGTCACTACCGCGACATCCCTGATGATGAAATGAACCATGGCTAATCACACCCCCCTCACGAGGAGCCCGTCATATGACGGGTGGAGCGTGCCATTTACTGATAGGATTTAACTGCTCGCATGCGTCCGCAAACAGCTGGACACTACCGCCGTCAGCGGTGGAGCAAACCCACAAAGGCAGTTGCGCGACATCCCGGGCATTAAATTCCCGCCACCACCCCGAATTAATCGGGGTAACGCTGTCCAACATACCTTGTGGAAAAGTCCACGTGACGACACTAGGTCACAACTGTTTGCATCAACAATGCAAGAAGTTTAATTCTTATCAGAAGCCATGAAATAAAGAAGATAACGTATGTCCATTTAGCACCCTCGCCTAACGGCAAGAGGTACTCCTGACCATGCGTACCTGAAAAATGCTTGAATTCCGCAAACCCGGGAGTAACCCCCCATCAGTTTGCTCTCCCCCTCACTCACACTGCTTCCTGATGAACACGACCAGCAGCCCAGCAGCGGTACGGGAGAGACATGACCTCCGCGCCTCAGCGGTCCGGGAGGAACATCACCACCTCCGCACCGCGCCGACCATTGGAGAATGGACGCAAGCCTACCGGCCGCAATCCTCGTGACTCAGCCTATCGGCTATCATCACGTCTCCTCCGGTCACGTCCGCCCCGCGCGCGGTCTCTGTCACGATCCCTTTCGGATCTCCTGCGATCATCTCGCCTTCGATCTCGCTCCCGATCTAGTGAATCTTCATCACGACGATCACGAGCATCGTCCCTCCTCCGGTCGCGATCATCCTCGCGCCGCGGACGGTATCTGCGCCTTCTCGATTCTCTGGAATCCCTGGTGTCCACGGTCCTAACGGACCTCCGAGAAGGAGTGCGGGAGACATCCGATTCCCTACGTCTTCTCGCAGAGCGAGAATTCGTCACGATCTGGTTGAGAGCCTCCAGTGCTGACGCGTCCTCACCATTTCTAATGAAATCCCTGACTTGCTTGTTCAGCACCCTGTTGGTGGAGACTGCCAAGAGAGCGTCCACCACCGAACTCCCAGGCAGCACCAGAAAGTGACCCTCCACCGGGCTCGCCGCAGTTCGCTCAGCCGACTGCAACCTGATCTCACCGCCTTCAGGCTTCTTTGCCATTGCCTTGGAGGCCGTCAAAGGCGCTACCGCGTCCTTTGCCGAAGATCTGCCGAGCGCGGAGTGAAGATCATCCCCACTAGCTTCTCTCGCTGCCGCACCTGGTCTGCTGTCGACGTCATCAGGCCTTGTTGATGCCTCCCGCTTTGTCGACTCCTTCACAGTCTCATCGGGATCCCAACGGGACTTCCTTTCTCTCTTCTGCCCTTCAGCCGACCCCCGACTACCGCCAGGAGCGTCGTCTCCGCCTCCCTTTTCCCTTTTGACCTCAACCCTCGGTTCGGCCTGCTTCGTCTCCTTAGCCTCAGCCTTCGGAGCCGGAGCACTCTTCGCCTCCGACACTGAAGCGACCTTCCCTTTTGGCTCGGCCTTTGGAACCGGGACCGTTTTAGCCTTCGCACTCGGCCGGGCTCCCTCAACCGCTATCGCGACCCAAGTCTTCTTCGGCTGAGCCGCTGCTGCATCAACCTCCATCGGAGCTGGTCCAGCATCATCCTTTGCTTTTGCCTTTGGGACAGATGGGCTACCGCCCTTACCAGATCCTTTACCTGGCACTTCACCTGATTTCGGTGGTGGGCCGGAAGGACTACCGCCCTTACCGCCCTTTTCTCCCTTCTTTCCTTTTCCTTTTCCGCCCTTGGTGATCGGCTCCTGCTTGGGACCAGGACCCGGCGCAGCATGATGCACCGATTGAAGCCCCTCGACGTTCACGTCCAATGGCTCGGGCTGACGACCATCAAGAACCGTCCTCACCCTTTCGTCACTAACGTAGACGAATGGGTCGCGGAAGGGGGCGGGAGGCTCCGACTGTCCGGCACTGATCGCCTTCTGCACCTTGGCTATCGCCTCCTTCAACCTCTTCTTCTCATCGTACCCTGTTTCCGATACCATGTACTGCCTAAGCTGCGATATCAATGCATGACTTTCCAGGATGTCCACGTCCTTCCGATGGGTCGGATACAGTGGAGTCAGATGACCCGCCGCGGAGCCAATCACGTATGCCATCGGGATATAGAAGGACAAGTACGTGTCATGGCGAGCGAACTTCCTAACGGAAGTTGTCATACGCCTACCCCATTGAGCAGCATGCCTTGGGTTAGCTCGGAAGTACTCTGTGACCGACTCAAATCTATCGACTTGGTTGGTCAATATCAGGTGCTTCGCCACCCACTTCTCCACGAACGCATCCGAGGCCGAAATCCCCGACACATAGGAGAATTGGAAGAGCACCTTCGCCAGCTCATCCCACGCCGTGTCGACTCCTCCCCTGTCCTCACCAAGATAAGGGGGCAGTCTGATGCCGCTCTGCACCGTCATCCTCAGGTCGGATGCCATGGAATAGGAAATCAAGTTCCTCTTGATGACTCCGACCACTTCGGAGGGAATCCTCTTGGGCTTGAACTGTCCCATGGTCCTCACCCACTCCGGGACGATGCGGCACCTCTCGAAGTCCCTTTCTTCCGCGTTGGGGATAAAGTTCGGGTAGAAGACCGGGAGTGCACACCCAGGACACAAATGCATCCCATTTGGCGTCATCTCCGCGCACCTCAAACAGAACGTGGTGGTCACATTCAACCTGACCTCCTCACGCGATCGCCTGTGCTCTCCCCTAACGGGGGTGAAGTCACCATAATCCCATACCCGATGGTACACTATCGTGTAATCATCGTACATGTATGCTGCCTTCCAAGCTCCCATGTGGATCTCGTTCCGAACCGCAAGGGTCTTCCTCCTCGTCAAAAACACGGGTCCAACCAAGGACCAGTGCACCCGAAGGTCCACCATCACCACCACGTACCTACCCGAGTAGTTCCGCAGCCTGTCCCTGACGTACCACGAAGGCGATACCTCGGCATTCGGCGCCATGGTTCCCACAAGTGGGATCAGGCCCTCATCCTGCCTTCCATCTCCAATGGTCTCGTACACATCGGGCCTCGTGATCAATATCTCGATCATGGCCTTTCCGTTTCGCCTCACCCTTTGGAGCTGAACCGCCTTCCTAAAGTCCGAGAACTTCATGACGACGTACCCCACCATGGGGAGCTCATTCCAATGCATCTCGTACATCAGAGATCCACCAGGTGCATCCTCTTGAGTGTACCTTTGCCTAACGGCACTGTAGCTCATGTCGCGTCCGATTCGCGTGTGCCTAACGGCCACTAACCTAGTGCTCTCCTTGAGGAGGACACCATTCCCATCGTACATGACCATGAGCATTGCCTCAACTTGCCCTATCGGGAAAGCTTTGATCGTCGGAATGAAGAACTTCCACGACATCTCGGCGTTCTCCATGCCCGAGATCTCCCTCAGGAACCAGATGGCCTGGTCACTATTCACCCAGTTTCCAGCCTCACGCCCGGTTTCCTTCAACACACGTTCCTCGAATAACTCCGAGACTCTCTTCGAGTTGATGACCAGACCCTCAAAGTCGCACGAGAACAGTCTCATCAACTCCTTAGCTGCCTCCCGCCCTGCAACGGTGCCCGCGGTCTCCTCGTAGTTCGGGAGGTATTCGCCCAACCTTGTCTTCGAGGGAACCA